TTCTTGTAAAATAGTCTAATAGGGGGTACAGGTGTTGTGTTAGTTGTCTCTTCAGAGGTCACATGGCATTTCACCTTCCTTTTTATGATGTCTTCAACGAAACCATTGGAGAAGCGGTTGTTGACTAGGACCTGCCTTACCCAACAGAGTTCTTCGTCGACTTGCTTCTATCCTGAGCTGTGGGTGAGAGCACAGTCGACATAAGCGTTAACAACACTCTTCTTGTATCTGTCTGGACAGTCACTGTTGGCATTTAGGCACATTCCTATGTTTGTTTCCTTAGTGTAGACTGCAGTGTGGAAACCTCCGCTCCTTTCCATGACTGTTATATCTAGAAAGGGCAGCTTCCCATCCTTCTCCATCTCGTAAGTGAAACGCAACACAGAATTCCAATCGAATGCCTCATTCAGCTCCTGCAGACGTCTGACATCAGGTACCTGTGTAAAAATGTCGTCAACATACCTGCAGTATATGGCAGGTTTCAAGTTCATGTCAACTAAGACCTTCTGTTCGAAGGTACCCATGTAGAAGTTCGCGAACAGGACACCTAGGGGAGAACCCATGGCGACCCCATCTACTTGCTTATACATGTGCCCATCCGGGCTCAAGAAGGGTGCCTCTTTAGTACAAGCTTGGAGTAGTTCCCTTAGAATGTTTTCTGGTATGTCAAGAGGAGTACAGGCCGGATCACGATACACTCTGTCTGCTATCATCCCGATTGTTTCATCCACAGGTACGTTGGTAAACAGTGATTCTACGTCCAACGAGGCTCTTATCCCTCTGGCCCATGTTCCCCGCAGTAAGTCAACAAATTCCTTTGGAGTTTTCAGGCTGAAAGCACAAGGTACATAAGGAGTCAGCAAGCCGTTGAGTCGCTTCGCCAGTCTGTATGTGGGTGTGGGTATCTGGCTGATGATTTGCTGAAGTGGGTTTCAAGGCTTGTGGGTTTTGACATTTCCATACGCATACCCAGGTTTGTATTCCCCAATAATCTTTGGCAGGTGGAGTCCGGATTTCTTGGCATTCACAGTTTCGATCAATCTGTTAACCTTTGCTTTCAATTTGGCTGTAGTGTCCTTCGTTACCCTTTGGAATTTAGTTTTGTCAGAGAGTATGAGGTTCATTTTCGCCAGATATTCGTCTTTTTTAAGAATGGCGTATATTGGCGACTTGTCACCTCTCCTGACGACTATCTCCTTGTTCTCACGAAGGCTCTTAGCTGCCACTTTGAGCTCGGGGGACAGTATGGTGCTTCTGTAGTTGCCTCGAATCTTTCCTCCTTCTGAAATAAGTTCTGCTTGCAAGGTGTCTTTGGTGGTGACCTTCTTTTGTGTTTCGAGGTCGAATATGTCGTCCAACAGGATCTCCAACTCCACTTTCCGGGCCATCTCATTTGGTCTGGATATAACGTGACAGTTTATAACCAGATTATTGGACACTCCTGTCCAATAATGATGGTCAGCTTTCAGGTTCTGATTCTGCTATTGAGTTCAAAAGGTACTTCTCTTTCATTGGGTCATCCCTTGTAAATGATATTCCATCTTCCAGTACTGATGTTAAGGACTATCTTACAGGTAACTATCCACAGTCTCTGTACCTAGGGGTACTAGTTCCACAGCCGTTAATGAGATAATCCTTTCCCTTAAATCCAAGTCTAGTGCCCATGAGGAGATTGCAACTTTAATTTATAAAATCAGATGATACAACTGACGATTTACTATAAAACAAAAAAAACGGCCAGCCTACTCATGAGAAACTCTCCAGACACAAAGCAGAACGCTTTAAAAAGAGACCAACGTCGTCTATGCCTTCACATGCCCACTTGGGGACTGTAAGCCTCAAAAAACGCAGTATTTAGGCAAGACAACAACATCTCTTTCCAGGTGATTAACGATGCATAAGCAACAGGACTCCATTAAGGAACATATAATCTCTTCCCACAACCAGACCATCACCAGAGAAATCTTAGCAAACAACACAGAAATCATCGATAGATACAGCGATAGCAGGCGGCTTGACATCTGCGAGGCACTACACATCAAAAAGTCAACACCAGCAATCAACAGCGAATTAATGCACAACTATATTCTACCCACTTCAAGACTCCGCTCCAATATAGAAGCATCAAGAAATATGGGCCAATAGGCCCTCTGCAGTTACTTCCATTCTTACGTTAAATACCCATTGGTTCGTGTTCTGTCCTGTGTTGAAAGTTTTGTTCACCTCATCCAAAATTGTTGTAACATATCACCTCACCCAAAATGCGGGTATAAAATAAAATGAGAGGTGTTTAAATCATAGCATAGTAAGAACTCTGTTTAGTGTTTGCAGGTTATAGTTGTGTGTGTGTAAACTAAAAGTCTTTGAAAATGTAATAAGTTATTACGAAAGGCGTTGAAGTGTTGCGTCAGACTAGAAATAAAAATGAAGTTTGGAGAATTGATTTTTCAATTACCATCAACAGTGAATAGAAACATAGGAAATATTGAGAAAATTCGTGTTAGAATTATTAATCTTACTTTTTCGGTCATATTTATATATATATATATATATATATATATATATATATATATATATATATATATATATATATATATATATATATATATATATATATATATATATATATATATATATAGCCTATGGTATATGTCGTCGTACCTAGTAGCCAGAACTCCCTTCTCAGCCTACTATGCAAGGCCCGATTTGCCTATTAAGCCAAGTTTTCATGAATTAATTGAGCTGAGACGTTCTGGCTATTAGGTACGACATATATATATATATATATATATATATATATATATATATATATATATATATATATATATATACTATATATATATATAATATATATATATATATATATATATATATATATATAACCAACCCAAAAACAGGTAAACTTAGCTTAGAGTGGTCAAAGAGGATTAAGCGGTCAGAGAAAAAGGATCAAAGATTAAAGAAAAGCCTCTTGAACACACAATATATGAATATACAATTATAATGAGACAATGTAAGCCTCTCTATCAAAGTTGTTTCTTAAACTGGGTTGCAATATTATAACTTAAAAATGGATCAAGTTTGTACATTCCAGTAGTAACATTAAGAAGATTTGGACACTCACTGATTAGAGCAGACTCAATCAAATTCCGTTCCACGAAATCCCCACAATTGGTAATATCCTTCCCCCTTCTCCCTTTTCCTTAGTCAGTTTGGTGTTGACAAAGGCTTTAACAAGCCGAAACGTTCACCTCATTTCATATTTCTCTGTGGATTTTCCGCATATATATATATATATATATATATATATATATATATATATATATATATATATATATATATATATATATATATATATATATATATATATATATATATATATATATATATATATATACACTAGCTGTACCCAGCCACATGTAGATGAGCCACAGCATCCTTCCCTTGTCTGTCTCCCCGCCATTTCCCCCTCCCCCGTCCCCCCCTCGTCCTCCCAACCATTCCCCACACCCCCATCCTCTCGTCCTCTCCATCCTTTGGTCCCTTTGTTTTCCCCACCATCACCCACTCCTCTGTCCCCTAGTCCTCCTAACCATTCCTCACTCCACCGTCCCTTCCTCCTCCCCTCCAAATCGTACTCCCCCATCCCTTCATCCTCCCTATCATTCCCCTTCCCCTGTTAGCCTCGTCCTCCCCACCATCCCCCACTCCCCTGTCTCCTTGTCCTCAACCCACCATTCTCAATTTTCTTCTTCACTCATCCCCAACTTCCCTGTCCCCTTGTCTTCCCTATCATTTCTCCCTTCTCCCTCGTCCTCCCCACCATTCCCCACTCCTGTCCCCTCGTCCTTCCCACCATTTCCTACTTCTTCATCCGATGCATTTTCAAATGATCTGATGTTCCCATCAAATAATTGGAAATATGAAATGATCTGATGTTCTCATCACTGAAATATAAGAAAAAGTTAAAAACGTAATTAAAAAAAATGAAAATAATTAAAAAAAATGAACTACTCACGAAATTAACGTATGGTAAAAAACACAGCTCAATTCCAACACAATGTCGTACAAAATATTTAAATCAAAATTAAAATAAATTGAAATCTATGAAAATTCAATATGTCAATGCAGTTGGAAACATTGAAATGGAATTGTAACATATATAGTATAGTGTCTGTTACTCTTACGTGCAAGTAGATGGCGCTGTTTTAAAAAAAATGTTTTTACCTGTCACAGGTGTGGCATCTAAACTTATATATACGAAATGAATGGCATGATAAACAACACAGCTCAATTCACCCGCAATGTCACACAAAATAATTAAATCAAAATGAAATAAATTGAAATCTTTGAAAATTCAATTTTTCAATGCAGTCAGAAAAACATTGAAAAGTGAGTTGTAACATATATAGTACAGTGTGTGTTTTTATTACGTGCAACAGTTGGTGTTGTTTAAAAAAAAAGCATGTTTTTACCTATCACATGTGTGACGTCTATACAGTCGGTATATAAAAACATGTGCAATTTTTAATGCAATGCTCTGTAAAAGTTTCAATGCAATCTGTGAAGAACTTTCGGAAATTACAGCGTGTGTTGCTCTTACGTCCAACAGATGGCGCTGGTTTTGAAACAAGCTTGTTTTTTTCCTGTCACAGGTGAGGCATGTATATAGTAGGTGTGTAAAAACACGCGCCTATTCGACTGCAACATTGTGTCAAAATTTCAAAGCAATCGGTAAAGAGGCTTCAAAGATTTCTCTCACATGAAAAACACTAATTTATAAAAAAAAATGATGTTTTTTCTTGTCACAAACGTGACATCTATATAGTATGTATATATAAACCCGCTCGGATGCGAATGGAATGTGGTGTGAAAATTTCAAAGCAATCGGTGAAGAACTTTCGGAGATTAGCGATTTGAACAAACGAACATTTCCATTTTTATTTATATGTTAAAAGTATGAGTTTTTATGTACGTTCACCTATGGATCCTTTTTACAGGTTTCTGGGAAAGATCTGGCACTGATGCCATATTCAAGTGGAACAACTGGAAAGCCCAAGGGAGTTGCTCTGTCCCACAGTGCAGTCGCTTCCAACGTGACTATGCTTGTGCATCCAAGCGTCTTCACTTCCCACGAAACAACAGGTCAGAGAGATGCAACTTTACAGAGGGATGCTAGTAACTTAATATGCAAGATCATTTAAACTGATCATCCAAACAGTTTCTCTTTTAATTGAATAAAAGAATTTGGTAGATGATATTGTTGGAAGACTAAAGTTTGATAAGGGTTCTGGAAATAAAGGTGATAATCAGCCAGAGTTTGCTCTAATGAAACAACAACTAAAACAAAATTGATGGAAATAAGTGCCGTACAAGAGATGGACAGACAAGACAAAGTACTGCACAGTGGGGTTTGTAGGAAGACTGTAAACAAAGGAAGATTGCAAAATGGAGGATACACCATGAAGTGAATACGAGTAATGCACTCTCAACTGTAGCATTTATCAATATATTAAGTAAAATATTAGATGACAGTTAATGGAGTTGAGTCATCTATTTTATCAATGTCTATTACGATGTGGGAGTTTTATCATCTAGACCATCAGTATCTCTTTATTAAGTTGTCAAACTTCCTTTCATATTGTTAACGTGTATGTGAGAAGAGTCCCGTCGGTGCTAGGCTGAATCGTCGGTTGTGTTGACTGGCGGGCAATGTTTACGTCTTCAGCGTCGTAGTACAAGTGGTGTGGGGTTTACTTCTCAACTCTCTTCCCTGTTCTAATTCTTAACACAGAATATAAATAAGTATGTCTTAAGTGAAATTCTGACTGATTACGAATTAAACTAAAACATATATGCAGAATTAAATAAAAGAATTTGTTCAACAGACCGGAATTACACTAAGAGATATACTACTACTTAAAATGAGTATACAAATAAAAACCCAAGTGCACATAGCTTGGTATAATAGAGTAGATTCCGTCCCAAAATCCTCTGTTAGGGAAGAAATTATTTCAGGTATCCTGCCACTGCATATGGATATTTGTAGAGAAGCCTCACATTTACATTTACGAATATAAAATTAAATCATGGGCAGCGAGGCACCGGTTCGTTACCCTGCACGTCATCCAAACCATTTCAGACAGTGATTATAAGATAGTCTAGCCTAAAAGAATTTAAGTTAATTCACTAATTGGAAAATTCATTTACTGACAATACACTATAAATATGATAATTATATTCACTTCCTTACTTTGTGGCAAAAACCCTACTATAGTAACCGGAGGAATCCTGGTTCAACTTTGACGATGCCTGCTCGTCAGGCATCGTCAACATAATGCTCGTACAGACCGCTGGTCTGGAGTGGAGGTCAGCAGCCCTCACTGCTCTTCTTGAGGGCCGATGGCTTGTGTTCTGTTTCACTATTTTGGCTTTTGATATTGCCGTTTGGCGTACCTATTCAACGGTCCGGATTCTTATGACGCATGGGGCACAGGATAGTTTATAGATTCTGAAGGTTTTCTGGCAGGTTCTTTGGGCGTGGTGACGGTGTCTAGCGCCTTCTTGGCAGAGACGTGACGGGAGTCGGCGGGTCTTTGTGAGCTCCTGGTATGCCCTCAGCCGTGGTGGGCGGCTGGATTCTGCTCTGCCAGAGGGTACAGGATGACTTTTGCAATTTAATAAGGAGAGGTACATCCCAGGAACCAATTTTAGGTTGCCACAACGTATCTGGAAAGTGTTGGAAAGTAGGAGCAACGTTTGTTTTCACGCATTAGATGCGTAATTTTGTGTGGATGTAAATAAGTTTCTAAAACGTATTGCACGAAACGTTAGCTAAAAAAAAATTGAAACCTTGTGGCAACCTTAACTGAACTGCAATCACATACGGTGATTGCTCAACTCTATCAACAATCACTAACAATGACAACCCCTTTGCAATAACACACACGGCAAGTACTCTAATTTCCAAGTATTAGAATACTGCACACACTTACTGTTGCAAATGATGCAAGTGCTCTCAATAACCCTTAGAACATAGGTCCACAATTTGCAATCACCACAGTAAAAAACACAATAACACTGGGCACCGTGACACTACGATCATATATATATATAATTACTGCTGGCACATGTAGCCTACAGCTATCAAACGTTATTGGGAACACTAAGGAGATGTGGGATATTTGGGGCTTGAATCTGATTATTTAAATATTAATGTAGTAAATTAAATTACGAAGGACCACCCGCTTTTAAAGTAAAGAGGGAAACTGAGAATTTCTGATCATTAGATAATTCCTAGATGAAACCAGTAACTATGGATAAAACTAGAAAGTATGATCATAATAATAATTAATGGGCTGTATTAATAAATGAAACAAACCTCAAACACCTACATTGGGGGGTTATTACTGGAGGTAAGTACGTCCAGGAATTAGTGTGGTTCGTTCACTAATTCAATTAATAATAATCTATTCCTATAAAATAATATTGAAACTGATATCATTACCAAAAGGAGGAACATAGATTATGAGCATAGTAATGAGTTACAGTAAACCACATATCAATCCCAAAGAATTCTGCACAAGATAAATTGCAATAGAATTATGAAAGGAAATAAATCTTAGCTTAACTATTATATATATATATATATATATATATATATATATATATATATATATATATATATATATATATATATATATATATATATATATATATATATATATATATACATATATATATATATACCTTCAAAGGTCATCTATCCTGAGTTCCTGTTAGGATGATAGCCCCTGTGAAATGCCCGTATTTTCAAAGGGTCGTAGATGAAATAATTTCTTTTTAGAGTGAGGGCAGACCTGGGTACCAGCAAACTCTTGCATCCTACCTGCGGCAAGTTAAACATTCTCTTTAAATCCTCATAACAGTCTGTCGTCCTTGGGGATCCAATATTGTAGTCTTATTGAGATAAGAGTATCAAGTACCCCACTTTGATGTGTGCAGTGTTGATGTGTGCAGTGTTGATGTGTACAGTGTTGATGTGGACAGTGTTGATGTGGACAGTTTTGATGTGTGCAGTGTTGATGTGTGCAGTGTTGATGTGTGCAATGTTGATGTGTAAAGTGTTGATGTGTACAGTGTTGATGTGTACAGTGTTGATGTGTGCAGTGTTGATGTGTGTAGTGTTGTTGTGTGCAGTGTTGACGTGTGCAGTGTTGATGTGTGCAGTGTTGATGTGTGCAGTGTTGATGTGTGTAGTGTTGATGTGTACAGTGTTGATGTGTGCAGTGCCGATGTATGCAGTGATGATGTGTGCAGTGTTGATGTGTACAGTGTTGATGTGTACAGTGTTGATGTGTACAGTGTTGATGTGTGCAGTGTTGATGTGTGCAGTGTTGATGTGTGTAGTGTTGATGTGTACAGTGTTGATGTGTGCAGTGTTGATGTGTGCAGTGTTGATGTGTGCAGTGTTGATGTGTACAGTGTTGATGTGTGTTGTGTTGATGTGTACAGTGTTGATGTGTGCAGTGCCGATGTATGCAGTGTTGATGTGTGCAGTGTTGATGTGTGCAGTGCCGATGTATGCAGTGATGATGTGTGCAGTGTTGATGTGTGCAGTGTTGATGTGTGTTGTGTTGATGTGTACAGTGTTGATGTGTGCAGTGCCGATGTATGCAGTGCCGATGTATGCAGTGTTGATGTGTGCAGTGCCGATGTATGCAGTGATGATGTGTACAGTGTTGATGTGTGCAGTGTTGATGTGTGCAGTGTTGATGTGTACAGTGTTGATGTGTGCAGTGTTGATGTGTGTGTAGTGTTGATGTGTACAGTGTTGATGTGTGCAGTGATGATGTGTGCAGTGTTGTGTACAGTGTTGATGTGTGCAGTGTTGATGTGTGCAGTGTTGATGTGTGCAGTGTTGATGTGTGCAGTGTTGATGTGTGTAGTGTTGATGTGTGCAGTGTTGATGTGTGCAGTGTTGATGTGTGTAGTGTTGATGTGTACAGTGTTGATGTGTGCAGTGATGATGTGTGCAGTGTTGTGTACAGTGTTGATGTGTGCAGTGTTGATGTGTGCAGTGTTGTGTACAGTGTTGATGTGTGCAGTGTTGATGTGTGCAGTGTTGATGTGTGTAGTGTTGATGTGTTCAGTGTTGATGTGTGTAGTGTTGATGTGTACAGTGTTGATGTGCAGTGTTGATGTGTGCAGTCAGATAGATAACTGTTTCTAGTGAGGTGCCCCATGGGTTCTGTTACAACACTCTAGGAAGCGTTTAAGGTTAGTATTAGTATTACAGTTCAGAGTTTTATATATACAAAGTACACATAGGACAACAAAGAGATTAGTGAAATTCTAAGAAGCCAGTATGAGGCTATGTTTAGCACACCAATAAACAACATGAAAGTTGATGACCCAGACAGCTTCTTTATGAATGACATTCAAGCTGCAGATAATATAACGGATATTACCACAAACTTGGAAGACTTTGAAAGAGAAATTGAGAATATGCCTATGCACTCAGCTCCTGGGCCTGACTCATGGAATTGAATATTCATAAAGAAATGTAAAGTACCAGTAGCGAGAGCACTCAGCGTAATATGGAGAAAGAGCCTGGATACAGGGGAGATACTAGCAGCACTTAAATCTGCAGATATATCTCCGTTGCACAAGGGGGGGGGGGGGTAAAGCCTTGGCAAAAAATTATAGGCCAGTTGCACTAACATCACACATGATAAAAGTGTTTGAAAGAGTGATTAGGAATCAAATTTCTAGTTTTATTGAAAACAATGAATTGCACAATCCAGGACAACATGGATTTAGAGCGGGAAGATCCTGTCTGCCACAGTTACTCGACCACTATGACAAAGTCACTGAAGCCTCTAGAAGAAAAACAAAATGCAGATGTTGTGTACACAGACTTTGCAAAGGCGTTCGACAAATGTGACCATGGGGTGATAGCTCACAAAATGAGGTCAATGGGAATAACTGGAAAAGTAGGACGCTGGATACTCAATTTCCTGTCGAACAGAACACAAAGAGTAACAGTCAATCAGATAAAATCGAGTCCAAGCGATGTTAAAAGCTCTGTACTTCAAGGTACAGTCCTTGCACCGCTACTGTTCCTTATTCTCATGTCTGATATA